ATGTAGTGAGTCTATTGCTATTTAAGTTCAGCAAAATTATGTGTGGGCAGCTAATCACATAGTTATCAACTAAAAATGCTTGTTTTGGGCAACCACCTTCATTTTTTTAAAGCAAGAACCCTGCTGCAGACTGTTTTATTGGTCTCAGAACCCAAAGCTTAAAATAGGGAGGGAAAGATGAAGAGAATGTGGTTCAATGGTTAGAGAACAGTAAATATACTCATTTTTTGTTCTTAGCTTCTCCTTCAGTTTGCTGCAGAAACCTAAGTAAATCTCTCTATGCCTTGAAGTATCTTTGTGTAGAGAAGCTAACATAGACTAGGGAAACCTGGATGAGAGCACTGACATTCACCGACTCCTTATGTGGGCAGTCACAGCACAGAGCCCTGCTGGAGTCATCCTGCTGCTCTGTTCACCTACAGACATCACCAGGACTTCAGAGTCCCAGTATTTTTCTGCCACAGAAAGAGAAACTGCTTTCTAAGCCTTCCACAGACAGTCATGAAAGAACTTTTCAGTGTTTCTAAACACACAAAGGGAACTGGATGATTAGCTTGCCATCTTAATACACACATGGCAAGGCTCACAAACCCAAGCAAAAGCTGAACTTGAGCCTTAACACTAGGATAGGCCAAGTCAAACTGAGAGCAGCACTGAAGCTGGGGGTATAGGTGCATGCGTAGTGGAGTCAGGGCAACATTTAAATAAATGCTAGGTTCTACAATATTTCCCTCTAAACAGTTACAGTGAGAACATAGAGCTGGATAAATAAAGTTGTCTAATAGAAGTCAAATTTTTAAATATGAAGAAGGTCTTCTCAAAGAGGATGGTGTTTGAGACATAAGACAGGCTTCAGTCTTAAGTCACTGAACCTGTAGTCTCTGAAAGACCAATAAGCAGGATAATAAGAAATCAGGTAGGCACAGAAACATGCAGCTGTGAAAATCTGCGGCCACTGTCTGCCCATCACAAGAAAAGAAAACTTGTGTGTGTTTGCAAATTCCAGTTAAAAAAAATTAAAATCTTTCTAGGGGCTTCTGGCCAGCACACCCATTAATATATGCTTGCCATCCTCATGAGAATTAGAAAAGCTAGCAAAATTTATTTCATTTAACTGTATGGAAAACTATGCTATTTGCATCCATATTCGTCTATTGTGATGTTTTGAAACTCAGTGCAGCTGAGTTTTGGAGAGACTGAAACAAATTAAATTTTAAACTAGATATATGGCTAAAACCTGGTAACATTTTGGCGTGCTCTTCTTTTCCAAGAGTATCTTAAAGGCTCTGATGGACAAGCAACACCACCTTAGCACAAGGCAGGAGATTACTACCCTGAGCTGTTTACCTCACACTCGATGTACAATTGAAGAACAGCACATCAATCAATTCCTAACAAGCTGGGAACCCACAACACAATTTCATAATAATCTGGGATGGTTTCCCTAAAAATCACTTCAGCAATTGACTGATGAACAACTGAGATGTCCATGCAACAGACGTTTGGGGAGCATGTAGGGAAGGTAACCTTGCCTTTGCCTGACTAAGTGGTTCCACCCCTCAGTCAGTGATCCAGGCCAAAATCATACTCATACACTTGAAAGATGATGAGCTAACTTTTTAAACTGAAGTCACATTGGAAAACTGAGGTCTGCAGTCAGATATAGATAACCCTGAGATTTTAGTAAGAAAACCTGGGTGGTAGTGGGAAGAACAGAAAAAAAAAAAAAAAAAATTAAAATTCCTGTTAATAGCAACTCCAGATCCTTTCTACCTCAATTTCCTATATTTATGTGCTATTTCTCAATTTCTTCACTCTCCTTGATCTTGAAATGCCATTTCACACAACTTTCTCACATGCCACTGAAAACAAAAGCAACAAGTTTGACTCTGGGGCCCTCTCTTCCTTGTTCCCTTAATGAGAGTACAGAATCATCACAATATCAGATTTATATCCTGTCTCAGATTCTCAAAATGTTTGTTCTTTCTGATAAGATTAATTCCAACGCAGAGGAACTCTTTGAAGAAAATCTCCTGTCTAGCCATTTTTAAAACATTTTATTTTTCTTTAGCCTGAGTCTAGTTTAATATTTATGCTGTGTGAAGAAGCAGAGTGTCGGCAACAACTCATCATAACATCTGTAGCCTATTTTCCAGGATAGAAAAACCTGTTCAGTAGCTACTTCTATTCCTAAATCTTACTAAACAGTTTTTATTAAGATTGTCCTTCTGAACCTGTCCTGAACAGATTCACTGTCCTTCTGAACCTTTGGAACATTAAAGTGACAGAAGAAGCAACATTGTACTAACCAGCTGAAGATGGGCCCAGATGATACAAGCTCTTGCAGTTGGCTGCAGCTATTAAGCACAGTACCCTTCCAAACTGTTCCCCCTCACCCTTGCCCATGTTACTAGACTAGGAGACAAAGAAAGTACTAATTTCAACCCACCAGTTATAAACAGAACCGAACACAAACTCCCCATCCATGTTACATTGTAAACAATAGATCACACAGACACAGTTTTAATAGTATTATAATTAAAAGCCTAATTTTTCTTGCATAAGACAGTAAGGAGAACATGTTGTGCTCCATTACTCTCTGAGGCCATTATTATAATACATCTTGTTCACCTCCAAAAAAAAAAAAAAAAAAAATTCAAATTGCAAGTTCGTATCTCAGCCTCCAGCTAGGCTGGATAACAGGAAATTTGGAACTAATTTACAATTATAAAAATCGGCTGGTTTACATCTTCAGCTGTGTTACATGTTTCCTTCTCACCTCTGTTAGCTTAAAGAGGTAAAACAAAGCTCCTCCAGGGCAGCAAGCTGGACTGAATAAAAAACAGGCAATGCTTTTGGCACAACCATGCTGAAGGGTCAAAGACAGTGGCTGTAATCATGTGATTGTGGTTTGCCAAACCATTAAGACAGGCTACTTGCCACAAATTGCAGATCTCACATGTATTTCAGCGAAGCTGTGCACTTAATGTTTGGCACTTACAAAAGCACTTTGAGCATTAAAGGTTTATTATACAACATGCATGCAACTAGCATATTATCATCCTCATTTTAAGGATGAAAAATTAAAGGTTCCAGCCATGCTCACATACCAAATGGGCAGAACTGGGATTTAGATTTTCATCAAGTATATTCAATCAAGGACTTCAATCAAAGCTTTGTTCCTTCAACAAACTTAACCCTGTCAGTTTAATTAGTATTGAATTTGTGTATTTTTTCCCAAGCTACTAAAATAAAAACCCCTCAGACTTTACCTTTCCAGCCTTCAAAGTGACTTTAAAAAGGGGATAAGTATTGAAAAAATAACACTTTAAAACCAGATCTGAAAAAAATGCAAAGCAGTGAGGGCACTCTAGTTTATATGTCATATTTTACAATTGCTTCCATTTGACTAATGATAAAAAGCATTCAGAGTACACTAAAAATTGGAAATATACCACTTGAGGTTTTCATTAGGAAACATGAGAAATGTAAAACCAAATCTTAGCAACATCACATGCTTCACCTTTGATGTCACTGTTCTGTTGTTGCGAGATGGAGTGTTGTCTGGAGGAACCAGAGTTAGAATAGCACTGTGCATAGGTGTTACATACATAAAGTAGCAACGTGTTGCCATTTTTCCACTGTATCTGCAACAAAGGAAGGTGAAATAGGAGGGGGTGGAAGCATAAATACAGTAAGAAGGGGAATACTCACTGGGACTAGCCAATATTTTACACACAGAGGGTTTCTGACTGGTCCCTTAAAATCACAATGAAAGCAAGATGATGATGATGATAATAATAATTAATAATAATAATAATAATAATAATAATAATAATAATAATAATAATAATAATAATATTTCTAAATGTTTTGATAAAATCTGTTCTTTGGTTTAAACACTTTTAGTGAAATTTTCTGCTTTCTGCGAAAAATGCCAAGAGACAAATCCAAGAACTTCTGAGTTTTGGGTTAGCACTTAAAAATTTATATACTCCAAAAATTTTCTTCCTAGCTCCTATTGAAAAAATCCCAGTTCCTGGCCTGATCTTGCATAAACAATTAAGATAAATATCAGATGCCCTCTACCAGCCCTCTGTTTGAGTTAGTTTCAGAAGTTATGAATTTCCCAAATTCCTTCAAGCCCTTGCTTTTGTTATGGTAAAGCTGCAGTTTCCTGCCTCTGTCAGACAAGTCCCACCACCTCAGAGATTAGACGTGTGGTCAGTTTGATGATACAGCTGTCAGCGCGCAATCAGAGCGTGACAGGGACAGAAGAAAACTGAAAGGGCTGAGAGGGGCAACTGGCAGCTCCAGGAAAAAGATTTGGGTTAAGGGAGGAGAAAGGAAGGTAGCTAGAACAAGTATGAGATCTGACTGAAACATGAAAAAAATATGGATGCCAGTAAGTACAATTTAATGTCCTCAGCATGAGGGGAAGGGGAGAACCTGGGATGCAACACCCCACTGCACTTCCTTTTAAACCCTTTGGGTTAACAAGTTCCCTCGAACAAATCTATCTTTCCTCTGAAAATGCTCTTTCTGCTTTCTGATTAATAACATGTATGGCAGGTGGTGCATATACAAAAATGCTGCAGCTCTCTTCACAGATTTCTAGATTGACTACTAGGAAGAACATGCTGTAACAGGGTTAGATTTGTGTTACACATGAAGCTTCATGAACAGGCAGATTTGGGATGCAGGGAGACAAATACGCAGTAGGAGAATATGAGACAGCTCTTGAAGCAGTTTTCCACTGATGCTAAGCTCAGTGCCTGGTATGTTCAACTAAGTTATACTTAGCACATACTCAGGTTTTGCAACACTCTACTCAGAAAGAGACTTGTAATGCTCCTGTCTCCTCAGGAGGGTAAACACTGGTGTGTTCTTGAGTAAAGGTCCTATATTGCAGAGGCAACTTCACTATCTTTGCAGCCTACTAGGTAGCTAAAGGAAAAGGCAAAACCAAAAGGAGAAGCCCTCCATCATCTGTTTCTTACCTTCCCCTCAAATCTTGCGGTAGCTCCCAGCTGCACTCGGATATTCCGAGGAGGAAGAGTAAATGCTGGTGCTTCAGCAGGGACAGGCGGGCTGAGTGTCAGGGAGGTTTTGGAGACTCGAGTAGATGTCACCAGTTTCACATCCCCCATGATGTAGACTGTAAAAGAGAAATAACTGGTAATAGAAGTTATGATGATTAATTACTTATTTTACAGTAGCAGCCGAGAATCAGATCAGGAACAGATTGTTCTATATGTATGCTATATTCATACACATAGTGAGAGGCTTCAGCCCAAGGTGACAAGTGCTATTTTCTGGGTGGGGAACTGAGACCCAGCAAGGGTGTGCCTGGTGTGCCTACAGTTCTGGTCAGGGTCACAGCCTTGAGCTGAACTCAGTCTGAACTCTCAAGTCCCAGGCCAGAGCCTTAACCAAAAAGTCGTCCTTTACAACTGCATTAAAAGGTAATAACTTATTTCAGGAGGATATTTTCACAACGTGACTTTGATTTTCCTGGCCTGGAACACACCAAAATCAATAAGTCTCAAAAGTAGAGCCAGCGTTAAACAAGTACTTATGAAATAAAGAGACCTCTGTTTGCACTGGATTTAAGTTGCAAGCGGGAATGTGGAAAATCTGATTTTTCATACCATGCTTTCAAGATCTTAAGAAATATCTGGATATCTCCCTCCAAAGTACTGCTAGGATATAACAAATACTTTTGCAGAAATTCCAAGTCTCTACTTTACTGCAAATCCTTCTACAGCACATAGACTAGTAAAATGGCATGGAGACCAAATTTCATAATGCTATAAAAATGGCATTTTAAAGACCTCATTACAGATATCTGCTTCAGAGGTGATTCTTCAGCTACACATTTCATACTTCTCACCAGAAAGCAAAAATTATTGTATTTTCAAGAAGTAAAATTTCAGGTTTTTCAGGAAAAAAAAAGTAGTAGCTGACCCTAGTACTAATTCAATGAATCATCTATGTAAATTAGAAGCCCCACCATAAAATGCCTGTTTAATAGACAAATTTTATAAAGGAAAAAACTTGAGAAATGGCTTGATCCACCAGTGTGTCCTGTTTAATCAATGAAGAACACTGGGCTTCTAGTCAGAATCCCCTGACATAAACACCAATCCAACACTATGTATTTATTCATATGATTCTGACAAAAGTTACAATAAATAACACTTGAGTAAACAGTGAAACTTCAACTTGAAGAAAAGAAAAATCAATTAAACTAGGGCCACTTTATTCATGACTGTATGAGAGATACTTTTTCTAGAACAGGCTGCAGGTATTTGGGGGGCAGAGGAACACAAAACTCATTCATTTCCAAATAGGATTTATACTCCAGTGTCACATGTATGCATCTGAAAACTCAGTCTGAGAACATAGTTTTCCACATAGCACACCTGACATGCTCCATAAACATATAGAAACACCTTCCCTCCATTAATCAAAACAGTTTAAGAGGGCAGCTTCTCTCATGGAAGTCACTAGTGTGAAAGTTAGATGTTTAATCTGAACTAGAAGTTTTGTCTCCCTCACAGTTAATATAGAGAAAGAGGCACCTCCAGAGGGTGTTTTGTTCTAACGTGTGGCAGTCACAGTGCTTCCCGTATGCACTTGTCAGGAACTATGGATTAGAATGCAAATCCGTTCAAGATACCAGTTTAATCACGTATGCGCACAGATTTTCAAAAAATGCTTGAAATCTCCTTCCTCATTCATAAGAATACATATGACAAAGAGTTTGGATTTCTTCTGGAATGGTGTTCTGTTAGCATTTCTGTATTTCAACATACAAAACTCCAAGAAAATCACCTGGCATTTCTAAAAATTGAGTTGCTGAGACCAACACATAAATGGAATAACGATGATTTCCCTAACCATGATGCAAATCTTTAAACTGAGGAATTCTGCCTTCATTTACATGAGAGTTTATCTTGCAGTGAATCTCTGTATTGGCACCCAGTCACTTGGGAGCACAGTGCAAGTCTCCCTTTCCAGTATAAGCAAGTCTTTAGAACACAAACAAAATTATCTTTGTACCTTGGCTTATCAAAGAACCATATGCAATCATAATATAATTCAAATAAGGAAGAAACTGATTGTATTCCAGAGACAAGATGAAATGAAAGACTTGCTTCTTCTCCAATGAATGTACTTAGCACTCTAACAGATGAAGAACGACAGTCCCTCACAGCTACAGTCACTGCAACGAACATTAATTGTTCTTTTATTAAGGACAAGACTCAAAATTCAGTTCTCTACTCAGCTAAAATTGCCGTTTATCCCAGCCGACTTTCAATCAATTATACAGCTGTAAACTGATGCATACTGAATCCATATTTGCCAGCACATTTTTTAAATGCATTTTTCTTTACAGATTAAGAACACACATTTTGAAAATCTCTAATTGCTATAAATATCAACTGTGACATTTTGTCACTTTTAATATATGCTGTTGATAATCTTGTAGCTGCTTACCCTTTCTGAATTGGCCTAAATCCCAATTTAAGGTTTTTTTCTTTTTTTCTTTTTTTCCATCCTCTTTCTCAAAGTGCTTTCTTGAATTTCTCTTCTCCACAGATGGTCTTCACTTTTCAACATGTACAACTATCTACTCAATCTACAGTTTTTCTTCTCACATACTCTTCTCTACTAAGCTACACCTTTCCATAGCCTATAAATGCCGAAATCTGCAATGTCTGCCAGTACAAGCTTGCAGTAAAATTTTTAGACCACCAGTAATGACAATAATGTGCCAGGGGTAGTACAGATACTATGTAAATCTTCTCCAGTGTGAAGACACTGTAATGCCTTTGATTCCCTAAGATTTTGATGCATTTGATTTCCATAACAAACCATTAACAAAACCTATCCTTCCACACATATCTGTATCAACTTTGTAGAGAATTCACAAAACCAAAACAACATCAAAGCATATACCCCCTTAATTTTGTTTGGAAAATAATATCGTCAACATCCAGAATCCAATTCAAACTTGATATTCACCCATGCGGATGGAATTCCATGTTCATCAATACCACTATAATGGCTGCAACAAGCAAGCGATAAAACGATATGCCCTGCAGATGCTCACAGGACTGTTCTGTAGGGACAAAATGCTCAAGTATCTGTCATTAGGTACAAAGCACTTTATGTAGGGTGACTTTAAGGAACTTGCTAGGCATGACACCTACTTTCACACAGAAACCTCCACACTGGGTATGCCATAAAACCAAATTCATGAAGTACTTGAAACAGAGCCACTAGCGCACGCCTGGAAAAATACACTGTATTCAACATATGCTCATCCTCCAAGCATCACGGGGCTCAGGTATATGTGGAATGCATTGAACAAAAAGTCCTTTGGCAAGGAAAGCTTCTGATGAAAAGACCGAGCTAAAGCCCAGCATCAGTTTTCCACTGATTTCTCTGGCTATTTGATCAAGCTCTACACAAAATTAACTGGAAAAAAAAAAAAAAAAAAAAAAAAAAAAAAAAGAAAAAAACAGGAGGTGGAGGTAAGTAGAAAGAAATTAAAAAAACTCCTGAACAACTAAGCCACTTGCTGGTCAGATTCTATTTCTATTGCATGTTGGTAAGATGCCAAAAACTGTCAACAAATTGATGCCTGTGTAGTGAGACTATAAAGCACAAATAAAGTAATAGCTAGTCTGTTCCATAAGCACATCTTTCACGGATTTATGTTTTTTCTAAATAAAGTGTCTAAATGGGATTGAATTTACAAATTAATATTAGCTCAAATCAGCACAGGCAGTTTTCTAGCAACATAAGCCTCTAATCATCCACATTTAGCAGCCTGACTTTAATTAGTTACGTATGCTGAAGATGCTTCTAGTAAATACTTAAGAAGTATTCTTTTGCAGCTTAGAGGATGCTTAACAGTTATGTTACCGAACAAATAAATAATTCCATGTCATGCAGTCTGGTGTTACTATGGAACTACTACGTTCAAATATTTTAAAGAAATAATGTTCCACAGAACAAATCTTGTTCAAGCTTGAAATCTGCTAGACAGGAAGAAAGCAGGCACTTAAAATCTATGTAATGCACCTGATTTTTTTTTTTCTTTTATTTAAGCAACTTTCTAGAATGAGCCTAGCCTTAAAATCTTTTTCTTAGGTATTCAGTCTTTCTGCTGAGTAAGATTTCAAGGATGCTCCATGAACTGGTAACATTTAATTTCACATGCTGTACGCACCTAGACTATGGTCTTTAAACAAAACCAACTGTAACTGAAGTTGCAATACAAACATTGTGGTATTAAACATAAAAAGAAAACCACCATGCAAATGTTGGCTTATAGGGTAGTGATGTGGTTAGACAGCATTTCTAATCTGGATTTTTTTTTATTCTTAATCCTTTCTAAAAAGCACGTAAATCCTTACAAATTCTCACAGTGTGCTCTCTAATCTTTCTAATACCAAAGCAGACTAATGTGTTTCAAGCATTTTCTACTGGGAACAAATCTCTGTCACTCAATACTCTGCTCACAAAAATAAACCCAAAAAAGCAAATACGAAGAAATCCACATCAGTATTTAGTCCTTCACTTATTTTATGTAAGTAAATACTTACCATCAGCTTCCTACATAACCATTTAATTATACTAATTTCCTTTTACCAAGTCCTTCCTCCGAGGCAGAAGAAAAATGAGTTGCAGGGAGAGCATGTGTGTGCGAGAGAGCAAGCTCGCGCAAGTGAGAGGAAACCAGAGCTGCCAGCTGAAAAACCTTTATTTGACTTACTGATATTGCAACTCTACACCTAAGCGGCATGGTTTTATTTGGTTCAGCTATTCTCACATTTTATCCAGATTACCTTCAATAACCTCTGAACCACCCCTGAAATTTGGATAGAATCTTTTGAGTTTTTTAAAACTAGGAGTAAAAGGACAGACAGCCCAGGGATTGGAGCATTTGTCTGCTCTTTGGGAAGTCCTGGTTAAATTCCCTGCTCCATAACGGGCTGACTGCATGAACTCAGGCAAGTCACTAAACCTCTCTTTTGCCGTGGCTCCCCTTTTGTAAAGTTGGGATTATTGTACCTCTTTACCACAAAGCAGTGCTGTGAGGATAGCTATATTAGTGGGTGGGAATCAGGCTACAGTAATAGG